GTCCGACTTGCCGTCTTTCGCCGTGGTGGAGTGGTTGTAGAGCCCCTGGGCCATGAGGTGCACTGCCAGGGAGTTCTTACTGCCCGTCGCCTTCTTGATCTTGGCTCGTTTGTTCTGGAACCAGATTTTGATCTGGGACTCGTTGAGCCCGAGCTCCTGGGCCAGGCTCTGCCGCCGCTGCTCTGTCAGGTACCGGTTCGTCTGGAACTCGGCCTTGAGTCTCTGCAGCTGCTCGGCGGTGAAGGCGGTGCGAGGCCGCTTGTCCTCCTTGTTGGGGTTCTTCTTCTTTGGTTTGCGGGAGCGGGGACCTACGGCCGGGAGAGAGGAGAAGCACCGACACCGCCGCGCTCTGCTGCGGGCAGAGCTGCCGTCCGGGGGGCACCGGCCCCGGCAGCACCACCCCCGCCAGGGGAAGGAGCCGCTTTGTGCCTCCGCTGCCGGGGATGCTCGGGAGGCGGCGGAACGGGAGCCGCAGCCCCCGGCGCCCCCGCGCTGCCCGGCTGGCCCCCCTCGGCCCCCCCGGCCCCTTCCTCCCCAGCCAGAAACGCAGTTCCCGAGCCTCTGTGTCCCGGGAATGCCCGGCAAGCAGGGCCAGAGGCACGGAGCTCAATTTTATTTTTAAGAATTTTTTTTTTTAAGAAAACCCTTATACATAGTCGCGACAAAAATTACAATGGAAATCCTCTTGCAGTTTACTTGGCCAGAAGCATTCCGCCCCTCCGCTGCAGTGCCCATATGGCGCTGCACGGCCCGATCCGAATCGCCAGGATTATTCTCGGGAATATTATTCTCGGCAGCACAAGGAGCCTTTTCTGCCCGGGCCGAGCCATTGTGAGGATGTATGTTAATTAAATATTAACAAAGGAGAGCACTGGAGAACAATGGAGTAAATTCCAATTCAGCTCTGAATATTACCTCTGAGTAAGAGTTTGTTTCCAGATATTACGAACTAATTTTCGTCTCGTTTTACGATCCCTTCCTCAGCTAGCCGACTCCCGGGTGAAAATCCTACCTCGCCGCTTTTTTAAGAGAAAGACCCATAATTTTTTTTTTTCTTTTCCCCGCTAGCAGATCTCCTGCCTGATGTTTCCCATGCCTTCCTCCAGTGTTTTCTACTTGTTTTTAACCGGGATTTTACCGATGTGCCGGAGCCAGCCCTCCTGTCCCCGCGGTAGCGAAAGGACATTTTACCCCCTGCTTGTTATTTTAATTTTTTTTTGTTTTAATTTTCATTTTTTTTAAAGATAATTTCAGGACGTTCTGCCTAAGCCCTTGCCAAGGGATGGACTCTGCCAAAGAAGTTTCCCGGCTCTTGGAAATGTCCTCCGGCCCCCACAGAGCTGACCTACAGCATGTGGGGGGAAATTAAAAGAAAGAAAAGAAACGGCGGCGGCTCGGAGGCCTCTTTTAGAGAAATAAACCATCGCGGATCGTTTTTGGCCAAAAAGACTAATCAAAACAAGGCGAGGCCTATGGAAATGCCACCTCTCCTTCCCAAAACCCAGCGCAGGGGGGGTTTCCCGGCAGGGAAAAGGAGAGCTCGCCGAGAGGATGAGCGGGGAGCCCAAAGACAGTTTGTTTTTTCCTCCCTCTTTGATAAAACTCGTCAGTTGGTGGGAAATGCCCCGAGCCCAGGCGGCCTCAGCTCCGCCGCGGCGGCGGGGACAGAGGGAGGGACCCCCGCTCCCTCCGCGTCCCTGCGGCTCCGCGCACCCCCGGCCGACCCTTCATCCTCCAGCTTTTCGGGCCATTTTAAGCAACTCGCCCACCCGCCAAAAAAACCCCAAAAAGCAAAACCCAAACAGGAAAAAAAAAAAAAAAACAAAAAAAACAGAAGAAGACGGGGAGGGAAAAGAGAGCGGGGTCTTTTCCACGCCGCTTGCCGGCCTCGCGGGCGGCGGCGGCGGCCCGGGGAGCCCGGGGAAGGGGCTGCGGCCGTGGGGAGCGGGGCAGCGCTTACCTGAGGAGGGCCGGTCCGAGTACCGCGTGCAGTACACCCAGGCGGGCCACAGCATGGGCTGGTTCCCGGCGTTGGAGCTGGCCTGGGAGCTATCCGAGTCCGAGCTCACCGACAGGTCGCCGCCGCTCAGCCCCCGCGCCTTCAGGGCCGCCTCCAGCGCCGCGGGGTCCCCCCCCTTCTTGGCGGCGCCGTGCAGGGCCAGCCCGTGCCGCCCGCCCTGCGCCGCGCTACGCCCCGGCGGCCGCCGCCGCCGCGCCCGGGCACTTCCACTCGGGTTGTTGTCCTTTAGGTTTTAACGGGGCCCCCGCCGCTGACGTCGCCGGCCCGGGCGCTCCGACACGTGCCTCGGGCCAATGGAAGGCCGGGCGAGCGCACACGTGGTGCGGGGCGCCCCGGTAAGTGACAGCGCCCACGCCCCTCCCCCGGACGGGCCCGGCCGCCGCGGGGATGCGCGGGGGGGAGCCGGGGGTGCCCCGCCGCGGGGAGCGCACCGCTGCCCCCCGCCCGCCTGTGCCCCCCAGCCCTGACCGGCGATGAGTTACCGGCGGTTTAATTGTCCCGGTGTTTACCGGGGAGGGGGCCGGCATCCCACAATTCCTTGCAGAAACGCATAAATAATATTAAGCGAGCGGCGGCGATACAAAGGGGTCCGGCGGGGGGGGCGGAACAGGCCCGGCCCGGTGCCCGCGGGCTGCTCGGGGGTTGCGTCCCCTCCCCGCAGCGCGGTTCGGCGGTAATTGACTCGTCCTTCCCGCAGCCGGACAGGAGCTTTTGATCTGCCCTGACCGCTCCCCAAACGGCATCGCGGCGCCGTGCTGCCCCCCAAAACGCCGGCCCGTCACCCTCTGGACCCCGCAAAAGCCCTTGCCTCTTTAGGACGGGAAAGCTGCCGCACCTGCTTTGCTTGTGTTTAGGGAGAAACACCCCGGAACAAAATTAGGGAGCAAGGTGCGACTGGATGTACGAAAGGCCGGGGGGGCTGAACAGGTTGCAGGGCTCGGATCCTCCGTGGGGAAAACGAGATGGGAGCGAGAAGGCGGGGGCGCGTCCTCCCCCCGCAGCCGACCCGAGATCCCCGTCCGGGGCCCGCACGGTGCCACCGCCCGACGGGGCGCACCCCGAGGAGCTGCGCGGCCCCGCCGAGGGCCGAGCAGGGTGGGGAGGGGATGGCTCGGCCCCGGTGTCCGCCGCACCCCGACGGCCGGCTCTCCCCCTAAGTGACGTTTTTCTTTGGAGGTGGCTTCCCTGCGGTGACATGCATCACTCGCCACCTTGAAGGAAGGGGACAGTGAGCCTTTCCTCTCCTCTTCTTCTTTTCCTTTTTATTTCCTCTTTCTTTCCCTTTTTGCTTTCCTTTTTCTTATCCTTTTTTCTTTCCCGTTTTTTTCCCCCTTATTCTTTTCATTTGTATTTAATTTTAAATTCATCTCCCTATTTTCTTTGTATTTCGCAGCTGGTCGGGTTCACCAGAGAAGACCAGCAGTGGCTGATCCAAAGTTGTTTTGCTCAAACAAGCACCCAGAGGTTAATTTCTTCAAGAGCCCCATGAAAAGCGATTAGCCTGTCTCCCAAGAAGTATTTTCTAATTACTTGGAAGCTCTCGCTTTACTACTACCCCATAATTAAACGTGTTCAAGGTGCTGCACTTCAAATATTTCGCTCCCGGGCGGACCCAAGTTACGGATAAAAACTTTAAACCTCCTTGAACCCCTTGTTACCTGCCCGCTCGCTGCCGGTACAGCGTTAACCTTCCCATTCGTTATCCCGTTCCTTCGCGGGGATATTTCTAACCTACACAGGACAGGGGGGAGAATTCCTGAGGTAAACTCCGAAGTAGGAGATAAACAAAGCTGTACAAAACAATTACTGCATCTGCCTGTCCTCTGACAATAATCCAGCACCTCAGGTATGCAGAGGCAGCGGGGGGGCGGCGAGGGGTGAAGGAGTGATCTGATACCGGACCGAAGAAATCTGAACGGTCTATTTTTTTAATTTTTTTTTTTTTCCCCAAGGTTATTTTTATCTGGGAGCTCAATCTCTGTAGAAATATTCCCCAGCAGCACTATTGCTCGCAGGTCCGCAGTCGCCTCGCAAGCGGCATCGCAGCGTGCGGGGGCTTTTCCTGGGGAACCACTGTGGGTCACCGGGAGAGGTGGCTCGAAAATGGGAGTTTGGCTTCGTTTCCTTCTTCGCTTCAGCCTCCCCTCGCAGACCTAGTGCCTGCAAATGTCACCTCTCCGCACACCAGCAATATTTTTTCTTTACGCTCTCCACGTAGTTCCAACGAGGCTCATTCCCTGCTGCCACCCTTTTAAAAATTTATATGCTTTCCCTCTCTCAAATAGGTGAGTGTGCGGGTGCAGCGGAACCCCCACACCCTGCCCTTTGCTCGGCGCTTTTGGCACTGAGAACTTTAGAAAAGGGATGACATCCCGGGAGCTCGGAACGGGGAAGGAGGGAGGGAGCTTGCGGCCGACCCCCGCCCGCCGCGGGCAGCGGGCAGGCTCCGCGGCCGGGCCGGGCTGCGGGAAGGCTCCTGCACTGTTTGTGCCGCTCCTCCGAGCAAACCCTCCTTCCAGCTTTTCCCCACACTCGGGAAAAAGGAAACCAAAACAAAACAACAAACCCCTAGGTGCAGGGAAGCCAAAATGCCCTGAGAGATAGTGAAAGCCAAGGGAGGTGCTGCACCTCCCGCTCTCCCAGCGTGGAATGACTGCCTGCAAAACGCAGGCATGCACCAAATTTCGCCGCGTTTACAGCGATTCCCCATTTCCAGCCAGTCCCTGCCCGTGCCGCCGGGGGAGGTCTGGCAGCGATGCTTCCCCGTAGGCACAGCCTGGGCACATCGCCGCGACCCCGGCGGCCCCCATGTGCCTCCCGCTCACACCCGGCATCACTTTTTTTTCCAAGCGAAGCCTTTCAGGCAGCTTTGCCAGCGCGTTGGAGCTGCTGGCGGAGGATAGAGGAGAGGGGAGAGGTCGCTGCTCCTTTGCCAGGCTGGCCGTGCCGCAGGCGGTGTGCCCGGCGCTGCTCGGCCTTCCCTGGGTTCTGGCATCAATTTTGGAAGGGGAAAACCAGCAGCAACCCCCTCCTAGCCCTGTGCAGGCTTTCCTGGAGCCGGCGGGCCAGAAGACCTCAGCCAGCACGGCCGCATTTCCCCAGTGCCGCCGGGCTCTCACTGCACCGCCGACAACCACAAGCATGAAACCCATGGAGCCTCCGGATTTTCCCAATTCCCCCCATGCCAGGCAGGATGAAGGACGCTCTGCGGCCGCCGGGATCACACCCCGCAGCCCGCGCTGGGACCGGCATCGCCCATCCCTCCACTTCAAGCGGGAATACTTTCCCATCAACGGGGGCAAAGAAACCCTGGCTTCCACTTTCTTGCAAGATCATGAAAATTTCATGAGCCGCTCGTGGCGAGGGCAGAGCCCGCTGCTGCCGCGCCCGGCCCGGCCCGAGACGGGGCTCCCCGCGGAACGGGCGAGGGCACCGGTGTGGGCACGGAGGATGCTCGAGAGGGAACGGATGAGGGTGAATGTCAGAGCCTTGACTCGGGAAAGTAGCGCTCGGTCACGGCGACCGTTCGCAGCAAGGAGTGACGGGGAGCAGCCACCGCCCACCGCCGCCCCTTCCCACGGGAGGGAGGATGCGCGGGTGGGGTGGGAGTGCCGGCCCCTGGCTCGCCCTGCCCCTGGCCCGGCCCTGCCCCTGGCTCGCCCTGCCCCTGGCCCTGATCCTCTCGCTGCCCCGTCCTTCCCCTGCCCTCCCCCGGCCCCTCTTCTTGCCCTGCCCCTACCCAGGAGGAGCAGCCCCCTCCCCTCCCGCCCTCCGGCTAGGATTGGGGACAGCCTTCCCGGGTCCGATCGAAAACTGTCAAGCAACAATAATAAAAGGCCTCCAATTTTGTTAAAGTTAGGTAGAAAGTGAGGGTGAACAACAGCCCAGAGCACAATTATATGGTGGTCGGCAAAAGAGGAGAGGAGAGGAGAGGAGAGGAGAGGAGAGAAGAGAAGAGAAGAGAAGAGAAGAGAAGAGAAGAGAAGAGAAGAGAAGAGAAGAGAAGAGAAGAGAAGAGAAGAGAATGGGAGGGAAAGGGAAAGGGAAAGGGAAAGGAAAGGAAAGGGAAAGGGAAAGGAAAGGGAAAGGAAAGGGAAAGGAAAGGAAAGGAAAGGAAAGGAAAGGAAAGGAAAGGAAAGGAAAGGAAAGGAAAGGAAAGGAAAGGAAAAAAATGAAAGGGGAAAAAGGAAAAGCCCTTTCGGTTTCCCTGGGAGGTGGCAATGTTCGCTGCTGCGTGGCTGGACCCCCACAGCCCTCTGCTGCGGAGCTCTGGTCCGGCTACCCGAGGCAGCGAGGCCCCGCCAGGACGCTGAGTGACACTGGGTTTCCGTTCCCTACCCGGAGTGCCTGGACTTTGTTTTGCCGAGCCGTTCTTTAAAAACCCACCAGTTGGAAGCATGACCAGGGAAAAAACTATCTGTGGCTGGGGAAAGTTTTTGGCCTGAGCAAAAAAAAAAAAAAAAAAATTCGTGACCCCCACTGGGTTTCCGTTCCCTACCCGGAGTGCCTGGACTTTGTTTTGCCGAGCCGTTCTTTAAAAACCCACCAGCTAGAAGCATGAAGAGGGAAAAAACTATCTGTGGCTGCGGGAAAGTTTTTGGCCTGAGGAAAAAAAAAAAAAAGTTCGTGACCCCTTGTTAAAAAAAAAAAAAATTAAAATAGATTAAAAAAATAAAGCTGGGAGCTAAACCTTTTGCCCGTGTCTTTGAGTTACACCCGCAGCACCTTTCTAAAGAAGCAGAAAACCGGCCCCAGTTTGTGCCCCCAGCAGCTGGGTGGGACATGGCCGGCACAGCCCGACCCAAAACCCGCCGGGGGATGCTCGGGCTCTGGCTGTGGTTCTGTCCCGGGCAGGGCTCACGGTCCCCGGCTGCGAAGGGCATCCGGAGGGGATCCGCGGGGCGGCGGCCGGGGTCGCCGTTCCCTCGCTCATCTGCAGCTGTGGAGGCAGAAAAGCTTCAAAGAAGTACAAAATTATTTCCCTGAAACCATTTTTATTTAATCTTAACAAGACGATGCGTCCGCCCGTCTCACACGCACCCGCTCTGTAGCGGAGCCTACACAAGTGTGCACAATCGCGGATGTCGCGACTGAGGAGCGTTTCCCCGCTTCTCCCGTGACTCGGAGGAGTTAATCCGTGCAGACACAACAGGAGCTGTTGTGACGGTAAAGTTCAGCAACTCTACACCGACCCCAGCATTAGCAGGGGCTGGGACGAGATGCTGGAGTTGCTCCTGCACTTTCCACATAGGCAGCTAATTCCCCTAAATTCCCTTGGATTTACACCTCGGCATTTACTCACGGGCAGAATAAAGCCATCGCTCTAATTAACTAGGTAATTTCCACTCCAGCTCCTCACCGGATAATCAACTTTTATGGTCTCTCGAAGGCTATTTTCCAGCTGTTGCGGAGCGGGAGCCCAGCCGCGCTCACACCGCACCGCCGAGGCTCCGGGGTCGGGCAAGCTCCGAGAGAGGTTTGGGGGAATCCCTGCCCTCCTCAGCAGGACCGGGCTCCCTGCACCTTCCCCGTCCTTCACTGCCCGAGGCTTCCCGTCAATCCGGGGCTGGGGGGTTCCTGTCGGCCCCACGGTGGGGATGGTGCCCCGGGGGGGGGGACAGAGGTGGCGTCCAGGACAGCCGAGAGAAGGGCAGGGCAGTGCTGGGCCGGGCTGTGGGGGCTCCTCCCGGGAAAGGAGCGCCTTACCCTGGGCTGTCCCCCGCCCTGGGTGTCCCCCACCCCT